CGAGGAGCTGGAGCAGATCATTTTGATCGAATATATGCCAGAGGGAAAGGTATACCTGGGAACGAGATTAACCCCCGAACTCAGGAAAAACTCATTCAATGTCTTATTGATAATATGGATTTCTTTGCTTGGTCCCATTTAGATATGACGGGGATTCCACCAAAAATCACCATGCATGGGCTAAGAACTGATCCCAGGTTCAAACCGGTGAAGCAAAAAAGGAGGTCTAAGTCCGAGGTAAAGCACACTTTCATAAAAGACGAGGTAACAAAACTTCTTAAAATAGGATCTATTCGGGAAGTAAAATACCCCGAGTGGTTAGCGAACATAGTTGTAGTTCCTAAAAAGGAAACAAACTTATAATGTTCATAGATTATAAAGACATGAACAAATCATGTCCAAAAGATTCTTTCCCTTTGCCAAACATCGATCGTATGATCGATGCCACGGCTGGCCACGAGACCCTAACTTTTCTCGATGCCTACTCCAGGTACAATCAGATTCAGGTGAACCTGGAGGACCAAGAAAGGACTTCATTTATTACTAAGTTTGGAACTTATTGTTACAACATAATGCCCTCCGGGCTAAAAAATACAGGAGCTACACCAATGCCTAGTTAACAAAATGTTCCAAAAACAAATAGGCAAAACAATGGAAGTTTATATTGATGATATGTTGGTTAAGTCCCTACACGCAGAGGACCATTTAGATCATCTGTAGGAAAAATTCGAAATTTTAAGGCAACACAACATGAAGCTTAACTCGGAGAAATGTGCCTTCGGAGTTGGCTCGAGTAAGTTCCTCGGCTTCATGGTGTCAAATCGGGGTATCTAAATCAACCCCGATAAGATCAAGGCTATCGAGGATATCATGATCGTGGATAGTGTGAAGGTCGTGCAAAGGCTAATAGGGAAAATAGCTGCCTTGGGTCGATTCATTTCGAGGTCGTCCGATCAGAGTCAGTGGTTCTTTTCCTTGCTCAAAAGAAAAAGTATTTCGCGTGGACCCCAGAATGTCAGGAAGCCTTAGAAGAATTAAAGCGATATCTGTCGAGCCCGCCTTTGCTTCACACCCCGAAGGTAGATGAAAAACTTTATCTATACTTGGCAGTGTACGAGATAGAGGTAAGTGGGGTACTAGTTCGAGAAGAGCAAGGTATGCAATTTCCTATTTATTACGTAAGCCGAACTCTAGGAGATGCTGAAACTAGGTACCCCTACTTAGAAAAATTAGCACTTGCATTGATAAGCACATCTAGAAAGCTAAAACCATATTTTCAATGTCATCTAATATGTGTATTAACCACGTTCCCCCTTCGAAATGTTTTGCATATGCCCGAGCTATCGGGCCGATTGGCCAAATGGCTATCGACCTTAGCAGGTACGATATCGAATATCAACCTCGAATGGCCATCAAGTCTCAAATCCTAGCTGACTTCGTGGCCGAATTTATGCCAACCCTCATACCCGAAGTGGAGAACGAACTAATCAAATTGACAATTCGCCAGAATGAAGGGTAGACCTCGCTGAGTGTCACTTGGTATTATTGGCAGAAATCAAATATAACTGGGTCTATGGGACCCAGGGCTGGAACTACGAAATCCAAGCATAAATAGGTAGGTGTACACGCTTAAGTACCCCACTTTATGGGTAGTGATGTCCTCTTCCGAGGAAGGAATAACCACATATTTGTCATTCCAATTGCGATCCTTCTTTACCTACTTAAGCTCATCCTTGGTTATCAAACAGATGTATCGAGACATGGGCCCACATCGGCCTCGTGTCGATACAGGTTTTTCAATTTTGAAATCGGATGTTATTTCACATGGTAGGGGAATGCACTCCTCGATGCGAGGTGGCACCACTAGTTTACTTCTGGATGGATGTGATGACGAAGAAGCTTTTTCTTGTTGGTGAATGGTTTTGGATGTTTTAGCCATTGCAGTTCAAGTGAAGAAGAAAAGGTTGTTGATGGAGTAAAGAACAAATTGAGAAAAGTATGGTTTTAGGGAAATTGAAAGAACTAGCAAGATTTGGCAACGAATTGAGAAATAAAGTTTGCAAAATTATGAAGTTAGCGTATTTATAGAAGTCACTTAAGTGTATTGGGGAAGCCAAAAGGCCGACCGTCAGCCGCCTCTAATTAATGACCTTGGAAATTGTGCAGACGCGACCTTTCAAACACTCCGGACGGTGACATCATGAGATCGGCATAATGATCGAGACATCGAGGAGATCGAGACTCAAGTCATTTCTTATCATCTTATTTCAAGTTCGAGCAAGTTCTCACTTGACTACTAAGCACAAGGGCTACCCGAGTTTGAGAAAATTCTCACTGGGGGACTTTAAAAAAGCCTAAGGGCTAACTTTATTTTGAGTTCGAGCAAGTTTACACTCGACTACTAAGCCCAAGGGCTACCCGATTTTAAGAAAATTATCACTCAGGGACTATCTACGAAGCCTAAGGGCTAACTTTATTTCAAATTCGAAACCTTGCTCTGACTCAACTCGGACTGAGGAGTCCCGATGTCCCGAGCTCGCATCAAATCAATTTAAGCTTAGCTCGTGGATAAACAAAAAGATTAAGGGGTATTATATTGATCGATTAAAAACCTATGGGTTTATTATGTTCTGAGTCCGGTATTCGGACTAATCACTAAAGTTATGCAATAAAAAATTTCACAAATAAAGACGGAACGGAATTCAACACGAGCCAAAAATGAGACAAAGAGATCATTTTATATTTCCAATAGATGGTTACAAAATATATTTACAACCACGAAGGATCCTTACACAGGAACAAAGAAACAAAAAACAAAAGCCAAGAAACTAATCTACTTTTAGGGCCACGTCGAGCGGCATCTTCGGGAACCTCCTTTCCGAGGACCCAATTTTGATCTTTGGAAATGTTTGTGTGCTTGAAGAAATTTAAGGCAGAAAACCCTCGATAAATGTAACTTTATTTCCAGTAGCGGGGGAGCATTCTGTTGAAATTTTGGGCCATAATCCGTTAAAAAAGAGCGGCAAAAGAAAAAGACCAAAAGGGAAGACAAGAAGATGTAGCTTCACCTTCTATCACAAGAAAAACAAAAAAAGGTTGCAAGATGCACGAGTAACGATCCAAAAATATTCATCCTTGGGACGTTGTACCGGTATAGGATGCAAAAGTTAGAAGATGATAGTGCCACCTCACTCCATGGAAAGCAAAAGGAATGAAGTGACACACCAGGTTGAAGTTAAGAGAGATGAGCGGCAGGTGAAGTTCTCATATTTTCTGATGCGGGAAGGATTTTGTGCCCTTCTCTCATTGTTTTGAATCGAAGCTTTGAAAAAGGGAGCCTTGGCGTAACTGGTAAAGTTGATGTCATGCGACCAGGAGGTCGTAGGTTCGAACCATGGAAACAAATGATTAGAAAGAAATAAAGAAGGGAAAGAATCAAAGTAAATGAAGATGAAATGAGTACAGTTCTTTGTTCAACAATGTAGCCTCATATTTATAGAAAGGCAATGACGGTTTGACGGCGCTAGTGGCCGACCAGTGCTGGCGCGCATTTGATGTTTTTGGGAAGCGTGCTGACATGACATTTTAGATCACTTCAAGCGCCTACGTCACGGTCATGAAATCATCATAAGAGGCTTAGAAAAATCGAGGTTCAAATCGTTTCTTATCATCTTATTCTAAGAAACGCGGGGACTATCTGTATACAGTCAAAATCATATGCCTCCGATTTATAGGCTCGAGGTTCTGTCCTAAGGCCGAGTCCGGGTGAGGTCGAGTTCGAAACCGGTGGACTAAACTCAAGCTCGAAGACAAAGTGCAATACCCGGAGATAGGAGTTCGAGGAATACCGATGCCAAGTGTACTCGACCCCAAAATAGTACCGTTATGCGTTTGCAACGGAATGAGCTAGATTCCTGCCATGTCCCCAAGATCATGGCGCAAATCCCGGAATAAGATTGTACGATTCCGTACTAGGCGGTTAGACAGATGTACCAAGAATATTCCTTACTGTAAATAGAAATATACCTTATTTAGGCATTCTCCTGTTATATAAAGGGAACCCCAATCATTTGTAACATCATCTAATCATTGAGCAAAGAATATACTCTCTACCTTTTGCTTACTGTTCATCAGAATTGTCCTTTAGCTTTATATTTCTTGCATAATTGTTCTTATTTCTCTAAGCCCATCTAGGGGTCACTAAGCTCGAGATCACCGCTGTCAAGTAACATTGGTTTGATTCACTTGTCTCTTCCATTTCTACTTCATTTCTCTTTATTATTACTCCCTCCGTTTTATATTAGATGAGGTACTTTCCTTTTTAGTCTGTTCCAAAACAAATAACACATTTCTAAATTTAAAATAACTTTAAACTCTTCCTTTTACGTATTTATCCTTAATGAGAAGTTTTTATAACCACACAAATGTCATGGTCCCACAAACCTTTTACCCCTTAAGCTTTTAAGACCACAAGTTTCAAAAATTTCTTCTTTTTTCTTAAAATTCGTGTCGAATCAAACTGCTTCATATAATATGAAACGGAGGGAGTAATTTGTATTGAATTAAATCACATATCTTTAAAACCACAAGATAAATTTAATTGTTACTCGTATTTTCGAGGTAAACAAATTTAAAGATGTAATTTTAAAAGTCTTCCTTTTTATTTTCCAAAAATTAGTACTCCCTCCGTTTCATATTAAATGAAATACTTTCCTTTTTAGTCAGTTCCAAAACAAATGACACATTTTTAAATTTAGAAATAATTCAACTTTAAACTCTTTCGTTTTACTTATTTACCCTTAATGAGAATATTTTATAGTCACGCAAATATCATGGTACCACAAACTTTTTAGCGTGAAGCTTGTAAGATCACAAGTTTAAAAAGTCTTCTTCTTTTTTCTTAAACTTCCTACCGAGTCAAACTACGTCATATAATATGAAATGGGGGAGATTTTATTTGTCTCGACGTAGAAAAAACTTTAATATAAGCTCTCTTCTTCTTTGGGAAGAAAATAAACCACAACTCAACAGTATATACACGCAAAGTTAGCCACGGAAGTCATGGCTATGGATCTAGCAGTGGTAGACTATGGTTCCTACAAGACGAGACCATCGGCGCTTCTCAACTCTGTCTTCATGACAACGGTGAACGCAGCGGCAAAGACCCTTGTGGCGGTGGCGTCGAACGCCAAGGCGGCTGACCAGCAGTCGGAGAAGTGGAAGCCAGCGGACCACTTGAGGTTCATGCTGATGCTCATGACTTGGTTGGCAGTTTGGGTTCTTAGGGTGTTGATGGATCACTGTCCTTTCGCTGTTGGCTCTTCGTATTCGCTTGATAGTGGTGGAATTGGATCATCGTCCCTTGACTTAATGTTGCCATCAGCTTCAATGTTGTCTTCTTCCTCTGGTGCTTTTTCTTTGGATTTGGTTCTTCATGAAGATTCTAATCAAGCTTCTCCTGCTAAAGCTCTTGGTAGAGCTCTCACGCATGTAAGTTAACTATTTGATTATCACTTAATAATTAATTAGACTTCTTTTTTTTTCTCTAGAAGAGTTTTGTTTTTATATACTCCGTGTTTTTCTGCTTTTACTGTTTTCCAAACTGATAACACACAAATCATTTGAGTTCATTCAAGTATGATGAATTTATTGATTCTAATCACATTTTTGATAAGTAATCTTCCTTCTCTAAATAAAGTTGGATAATATAGCTACTCAGTTTATACGGTGGTGTTTGACGCTATGCCTTTAGAAGTTGTAATTTTAACATGGACGAATAATTTAAACACCACTTGATATTTGTATGATTAAAATGAAAAGTTGAGAGATATAATGTTGTGAAGTATATGAAGGAAAGATTGAAAGATGCTCTGAGTGATCGATTGAATGATCACCTTCCGACTTGTTTTGTGGGATATATAATAAGTGAAAAAGGTTATATGCTTTTAGTATGAGTTATTTGCCTCCTAATTTGTGTGAAGTATTTCATTAGACATGCACTTTCTTGATCTTAGACTAGAAGGGGAAAAAAGAGTCAGTGGCTATTGGTTCACTTTTCCTAGTTTCATTTATTTATATCATTTGAGAATAATTAAATATTTTGTCTCTGAAATTAATCAATTAACTATTCCTGAATCTACCCTATATTTTATGGATAGGGTGAAGTAAAATGGGTAGAACATGGAAAGCAGAAGCTTGTATTCGGGTAGGGTAGCGATAGTTGGGGAAAGAGAAGGAAAGATACTCCATACATTTCGGTGAACGTGTTTGGTTTTGGTCCGTTCCAAAAAAAATGATCTTTTTAAATTGGGAACTAATTTAATTTAAATTTTTAATTCTACTATTAAAGAGAAGTTTTTATAGTTATACAAATACTCTAAATTTTCTTTAACTTGTTTAGGATTATAAATTTAAAAATTTTTTATTTTTTTTAAACTCCGTAGTCAGTCAAACAGATTCCGAAAACGGAGGAAGTACGCGTTTGAGATACCTAATTCTTGGTGAATATGAACATGAATGTTGCTGTGCTGACATAATAGCATAACCCGCCAGCGGAAACTACTGCCTTTTGAGTCGTAGCTAAATACTGTTGTATGTAAGGTGGTTATAAGTCTGCCGTTTTCGGTCTGCAGTTTTCCTCGATGGAGGGTGTTAAAAACAAAACATGGCTATGTTATGCATGCATGCAACTGCCACGCGTCATAGCATGAGCGCATAAGCTTACACGTATTTGAGATAGTCACACGTCAAATGACCTCCCTCTTCTCTCTACACGTAGTTGGATCGTCAGACGTAACGTGAAAATATAAGTCGGATGGGTTTTGATTCCTCTCCATTTCCTGTTACCTTCGTTTCCCTGAGTTCATGCTTGAATACGAAACACCTGTACCATTTTAAAATTAATGATCTAGATTTAATTAACTAAAATAAGGCATTAACCATAATTAAGTAATAAATATTTTGTATATAATTTTCAGAAGAATTTACCAACATGCATCTCAATCCTTTTAAAAACCTAAGTTGCAATCTGCCGTAGTAAATTTACCCTTCCATTCCATAATTTTCTTTTCATTATTCTGGAGTTCACTATCCTTTAAAAAAAAATTGAAATAATTATTTAAAAACTCAATCTAATTTTAACCGAAAAATTTAATTTTATTCATAGCATAACCATGTATTGGAGAGCTTTGAATTATTATTGTTTTCTTACTTTCTCCTTTTCAATGGTAGATTTGTGGTCACATCTCAAAATTAACATATGGATGTTTATCATTCATTTGTACCAATAAACTTTGGGATCATTTAGACTTGCATATGAATACTACGAAAGAAAACGCTGCTAGAATTGGTTGGAAAGAAAATTACTACAAGAAAGAAAAAAGGAATCTTAGATAATGTGTAGCTATAATTGTGGTATTGTAAAAGCTATTATTTGGAAATAAATAAAAGAAGGAATTAAATACTTTATTAATTATGGTTAGGAGTTTTATTTTATTCAATTAAATTTTACCCATTAATATTTAATCATGACAAGTGTCTCCAATCTAAGTAAGAACTTGGAGAAATGGAAAGGCTAGAAAATGGAAGGGAGTTGGATCCAGTCGGATGCATCCTTTGGTATTTCGAAAGCTTACTTGGCTTCGACGTATTTGAAGATATTTTTTGAAGAAATTTTGTCTCCCCATTTCATTGTTTTTAAATTATATCGAAAAAATATAAGCGAAAAAGTCATTTTTTTTCTCGTTTAAAATTTGTTGTGTTCTGTAGCTAAAAATGACATTTGAAAAATTATCTCCTTCGTACCAAACACACCCTTCTATGGTTCCCTTCAGTATTAGCATTGCGTAACTTTTGGTTGACGTTTTGTTCTTTTTATTGGGAATATCATATTATTGTCTCTCATGCTCAGAAATCGAAGATTTTAAAGATCGTAATATATATATATATATATATATATATATATATATATATATATATATGTATATATATATCTTAAAAGCACGAAAGCCCTTAACGAAATTTCTTTCGCATTTTTTACCCTTTAAAAATAAACATTACATTAGACAAAATTGTAATTAAGTTATTATATATATATATATATATATATATATATATATATATATGTATATATATATCTTAAAAGCACGAAAGCCCTTAACGAAATTTCTTTCGCATTTTTTACCCTTTAAAAATAAACATTACATTAGACAAAATTGTAATTAAGTTATTATATATATATATATATATATATATATATATATATATATGTATATATATATCTTAAAAGCACGAAAGCCCTTAACGAAATTTCTTTCGCATTTTTTACCCTTTAAAAATAAACATTACATTAGACAAAATTGTAATTAAGTTATTATCCTAATATAGAGGACTTTAAATTTTTTAAATTTTTTATTATTAAATCTTTACTTATTTATGTTTGAAGTCCTAATATTAAGGACTTTAAAGTAGATATTCTTTGGGGAAATAGAAGTAATATTACGTTTCTTTTGTTGTATTTCGAATACAAATACAGAACCAACGCAGCGGAATATTAATAGGAGCATACCTTCAGCCATAGTTGTTCAAGTGTTGTAGGGAATCACCTTCGTAAAATGTTGGCAGAAAACCTAGGAGCCTTCTAGCCTGTACCTATCGTAGGATGCCAGACTGATGGAGTCACAGGCGTATTAATAGGTAGGTTAGGGACTCTTAGGCAAATACTTTAGCCCTAGGGACTTCTCCATAAATTATAATTACCCTAGGGACTCCTAATATATGGTAATTTCTTTCCATCAAAGAAACTACTATATATGCATAACTACTGAATATTATGTGATATATTATTTCCTTTGGGAGGCAAGATAAATAATTTATTACCTTATATGTGGGTCACACTAGAAGTCTCTAGAAGAGACGGTAATTTCTAACATTCTCCCACTTGGCCCACATATTAAAATCATATAATCCTTTATGAGATATAAACATATAATATGGCCATAAACTTTATCACTCAACTAAAAGTTATGCAACAATCACTTTAACTAGAATATATTATTACACGAATCATGGCGGTCATGTTTTTAAACAAACACTTCCTTCCATGTATTACAATGCACAATATATTCTAATAAAGTGTCTAAAAACTTTATGAACGAACTTAATATAAGTCATTCAGAGTCCAGCTTTATTGATCCAATGATCACAAATAATACATGAAAAACCAAAAGTGTGCACTGTCATGTATATCAAAATAAACATAATGTCGAGACAAACTGTTAGAGAGCAAAGCAAGACTAAAGTGAGCTACTAAGCCCCATATGGGTTACATGATCCTTGAAAATATTAGCCCGGAGACCTTTAGTCATAGGATCAACAATCATCAAAGTAGTACTAACATGCTCAAAATTCACATCTTGCTTCTTCACATAGTCTCTAACCATCAAGTACTTTATGTCGATGTGCTTGCTTCGGCTGCCACTTTTATTATTCTTACAAAAGAAAACTGCAGCTGAATTGTCACAAAAAATTCTCAATGGCCTTGAAATGGAATCGACAATCCTAAGGCCGAAAATAAAATTTTTCAACCATAATGCCTGTGATGTAGCTTCATAGCATGCTATAAATTCAGCTTCCATTGTGGATGCTGCAACAATGGTCTGCTTGACACTTCTCCAAGACATAGCACCTCTAACAAGAAGGAAAATGTATCCTGAAGTAGATTTACCAGTGTCTTTGCATCCACCCAGATCAGAGTCTGAATATCCAATCACCTCCAATGAGTCAAAGCATCTGTATGTGAGCTTAAAATCCTTGGTTTCTTGCAAATATCTCAAGACCCTTTTACCAGCTTTCCAATGGTCAAGACCAGGGTTACTTTGATATTTGCCAAGTATTCCTACCACAAAAGAAATATCAGGTCTAGTACAAACCTGTGCATACATAAGACTCCCAACAAGGGAAGCATAAGGAATGTCTTTCATTTGCTCATTTTCTAATGCATTTTGTGGACATTGATTCAATGAGAATTTGTCACCTTTAATTATGGGTGCTGCTATAGTGAACAGCTCGTCATCCCGAATCTTTCCAGAATTCTTTCAATGTAGGCCTTTTGAGACAGTCCAAGTAATCTTTGTGATCTGTCTCTGTGAATCTCTATGTCAATGACATAAGAGGCTTCACCCATATCCATCATCTCAAAATTCTGGATAAGGAACTGTTTAGTCTCGTGCAACAATCCCAAATCACTACTTGCAAGCAAAATATCATCCACATATAGGATTAGAAAAATATATTTGCTCCCACTTATCTTAAGGTATATACACTGATCAATGATGTTCTCCGTAAATCCAAATGAATAAATAACAATATGAAATTTAATATACCATTGGCGGGAAGCCTGCTTTAGCCCATAAATGGATTTATTCAACTTGTAAACAAGGTGACTTTTGTCCTTATCACAAAATCCTTCAGGCTGACTCATGTATACTTCC